GGGGGGGGGGGGGGGGGGGGCGGGGTGCAGAGGAGGAGGGCCCGTGTGGGGGTTGGCCGCGCCGTGAGGGGTCGCGAATTGCGGGACACCTGGATGACGAGATGATTTCCATCAGGCCCGGGCTTCGTACCACTGGGCGACTGCGGGCCTGAACGCACCACAGCGGTCACCTGGCAGCCACCAGCTTTTAGATTACTAAGATCAAGTGTGTCACGCGCACGGCCGCAGGTGATGGACGCTGCCGCTCGAGCCCCCAGATTTCGTGCGCACCAGCCGGCGCAGCGCGCGCCTCGTCGTCCGGCGAGGGCGAGCTGAAGTCAAAGGCGGCCGCGCCTTCGACCGCTGGCACGGCGGGCGCGACGGGGTATGCGCCGTGCTTGGCGGCCGGTGGCGCCTTGGCTTTCGCTGCGGGGTGTTGCATGGCGGATAATCGCGAGGTGTTTGGTTGAGAGTGCGTGCTTGCCCGCCTGCGCTGCACGCATTAAACTGTGTGCGAGAGCGCGGTCACTGCAGTCGCTCTGTGGCCGATGCAGGCTGCGACGCAGCAAGGTGCGGGCAGCGGCGTGATCGAGCGGCAGCAGCCCGGCAGCAACCCCGGCGTCCTACCGCCCTTTTGCGGCTTGCCGCTCGGCTGAGGGGGCGGCGGGTCGCACAGGGTGCGCGCCAGGGAGGAAGCACCTGCTGCTGCGGCAGGCGCCGCCTTCGCCTTTGCTGCTCCCTGTGTATGTGCGTCAGCATGGGCGAGGGGAGCTGGCCGCTCGGCAGCAAGGCGTGGTGGGCCACTGCACGCAGCGGAGTAACGACGGTCACGCAGCGGCGGCCACGGCACTGCCCCAGCGCCGCACCTTGGCAGCGGGCTTGGCTGCCGTCTCGTCATAATCGTCCTCCCAGTCTCCATCCCAGTCGTCCTCTTCATCGTAAAAATCATCCTCGTCCCATTGCTGCCCTCCTTTGCCACGCATGGAATATGAAGGCAGATACCTGTCGATATTTATCCCTGGACACTTCTGAGTAGAGTATAGATCGTGAGATCAACTGTGTTCCAGTACGGAACGCCGTGTTTGAGAAAAGCTATCTCTGGGCAATATCCTAGCATCAATAGGAGTCACACATGATGGATGTACCATACGCCATGTGCGTTCCCATCCAGCTTGGTGTTGCTGGGTGGTGACTGCGCTCTGGGGAGCAGGCCACAACCGTCTGTGGCATTTGCCCGTGCTCATTTCCATGCCTGCCAGCGGTTGTGAGAGTTTGCGTCAATCTTCAGCAGTGTGTGGCGGCTGAACAGACCGCTGAAGCATCAGGCTTGCCAGTCAAAGCAGGTTTGACCACGGCTCCGCCGGCCAAAGCACGTTGCCAAAAATCGAATTACAGCACCAGAACCCACAAGTGCACGCGCACAGGCAGATTGCAGGCGCATCAGGGGTCATACTTGCTTGATGGATGCTGATGACGCTCAACAGGGCAACGAGTCTGTCACTACAAACCTATGGCAAAGGCCGGCAGCTGCACCGCATTGTGTTTTGCAGCACGCATGGGCCGAAATGGAGTCTTCAGCTCAAAAAATCATCTAACAGCCAGCAAGAGGCCTCGAAAATGCGTGCCACGTCCACGCGACGCTCGAAAATGAGGGGAGAAGAAGGCACAGGAGTGGGCTGTGCCGCTTGGCATCGTTCAACCTGCACACCCCTGCACCTCGGCCGCTCGACATGCGCTACCCTGACCTCTACACCGGACGAACCGACGAAGGACGGACTGCTTGGCGCCAGGAGGCGTGTACAAACAAACTTGCGCAACAGCTGACTTGACACAAAAACGTCTCCGTAAGTCATCATGTCACACCACCACCACGCACCACCGACAGGTGGAAGCCATATGGTGGGAACCTACGCTGCAGCAGGTGTCATGGAGGCCGTGGCCGTCGGCAGCCGCGGACAGCAGTCTCCCGGGTCAACAGTCGCGCTTGGAAGCAGCAGCTGTGACGGGCACGCTGCGCTTGCGCTGCGAGGGGATGGAGTACTGCGGGGCAGGAGGGCGCGAATGCGCAGGAGTGAGCCGCGCCCAGATGATGCTTGTGCGCGTCCGGCGGTGACGTACGAGCTGTCCATGCAAGCGTGCAGGGTTATGAAGGTTTGCTTTTGCACATGCGGTTGCATTGGCGGGCCTCGCCACTCACCCCGGTAGGCATGCCCCAACCGTCCCAAATCTTGTTCCACTCCTGCGTGTAGTGAAGTGGAAGGGGCAGGCTTCAGCACAGCCAACGTGGTGGCACGCAGTGTATGTGTGTCGCGCACATCCATGCCTGAAATGCCTCAACGGATCCATACAGTCTCCAAGCAACATGTATCACCATCATTTTGGCAGCGGCACCCCAACGCACCGGGTACCACCCCCAGCTTTTCTCCTGCAGCGGCGGCGGGATATAGACCAGCGGCGGCACGCGGCCCCGCGGCGCCCGGCTGGCCAGCTCCAGCGGCACGTTCTCCACCCCGCGGCCGAACCGCCGGTGGCAGCTGCGGTGGAACTTGATGGTCAGCGCCGGCATGAACGCCACGATGAGGAACGCCTGCACGTAGGCGCCCTTGAACGCCAGCACGCAGAAGGTGAACAGCTGCATGGTGACGAGGCAGATGCATATCCTCGAGAACATGTAGGTCCACATCAGCCCGCCGGACTCGTACTTGCGCTGGTACACGTAGCAGAGGTTGTGGCGCCACTGCACCCAGGCGAAGACGAACCAGATCACGGAGAAGGGGAGCAGCAGGGGCGCGATGACCGAGAAGGTGAGGGCTAGGAGGTATATGAGCAGGACGTGGCCCATCTCAAAGCCGTAGCGGGGGGTGCGGGGGCCGTAGGTCAGTGACTTGTCGCGGTCTGCGGCGGCGGAGCGGGGGGCGGCAAAGGGTATAGGGGCTTGGATTATCGGGGCCGAAAACCGATGGCGTAACCGCGTCATTGAGTGTGCACAACTCAATGCAGGGTCGAGCCATGCGATAACGCGCGCGACAGCAGCGGCCTGGAGCACAGGCGCCGACACATGCCACGCGCCAAGCGTTTGCCCGGCCGGGCTGTGTTCGGCACACGCCTGGCTTTTGCCATCGTGCAAAAGCACGCGCCCAGCTCCCTGCCTCCTCACCCGTGTTGCAGAAGGAGACCCAGGCCGGCGGGCAGCAGACGAAGTGCGCCCAGTTCTGCCAGACGCCGCCGTGCGGCACGCACATGCGCAGCCAGACCAGGAAGAGGGCACGCATGGATATGAACTGTATGAAGAAGTTGGACGACGTCGGCAGGGCGGCGCCCAGGATGTTGGGCAGGTCTTCTGGGTGGTATATGATCTCCTGCACTCGCTGGAAGAAGGTGCTGCCAATGATGCCCTGTTCGAGGTGCAATGTGTAAGGCAGGGGGGGGGGCAAC